TGTCCACGGCGAGGACGCCTTCGTCGTTTCCGAAGAAGGTGACGCCAAGCGCGCGAGGTGGCGGCGGCGGCACCGTTGCGACCTCTCCTGTCACAGGAGTGTTGTTTTCCCCGGTCTTTGCGACAAGGGCACTGACCACGTTGGGGTCCTGGAGAATGCTTGCGACAATGGTCGATAGTGCGGCCGGGTTGATCTGGGGGGCATTAGGGGGAGAACCCTGTTGGCCCGAAGCGCGGTCAGCAGCGCGTCTGTCCTCGAGCCCGATGCGGGCATCTGGAGCAGTCCGATTGAGCTGGGTGCGAAGGTCGGCCGCTGCGAGCTCGACCTCCTGGGCATCCTCTTCATGGACGTTGGGGTCATTAGGGACGTTGTCAGCAACGTTTCCTTGCCCTTCCTGGTTGAGAGGGGCGTTCCTACCAGTGTTCTTTGATCTAGTTCTCGTCATAGCTAGCGGTAGTGTCTGATAGCGACGAAGGGTACTCACTTGATCTGTTCTAAACTCTCAATGAAAGCACCAAATGATAGAGTATTAATTCTAGAGAGAAGTGAGAGCTAGAGAGAGAAAGTGAGTAATTATATTTTTCAACCCCCTATAACTAGCCCCAAGGGGTCTATTTATAGGTAAAAATGTGGATTTGGGCCCCTAGCCATGGGCTTAGGAGGCTCATTACAATAATCATGCCTTCTTTGGGCGAAATAGGGCCACTAATGGGCTGAGTACAATACTTAGTAAGTAAAGTTTAGAGATGTATTCTGCCAGGACGATGTTAGGCCGATGCGGTGCCTTTTGGCCGATGCGGGCCCATGGCCGATGCGGTCCATGGGCCGACGCGGTCCCGGGAATCCAGTTGTGCTTCCTGGGCCGGTTTGGTTTCTGGCCGATGCGGACCCACTGGCCGAAGGGGGCCACGTGGGTATTCTTCTGGTCATCGTTGACTTGAGTATGTGGGCCATGGGGTCCAGGCCCATATACTCTATCAACAACAGTTTGTGATTTGAGTATTTAAGATCTCAGTGAATCACATGATTTTGATTATTTTATCAAAACATGGTTGAAAGGTTGGGAGAACAATTCATATGGAATAATGAGATAAGAGATTTTGTATTTGTTTTTTTTTTTTTGCCAAATACCTTGTGGTCTGATGGCATCATTGTGGCAGTCCCAAGAAGGAGGTCACAGGTTCGAATCTCATCCCAGTTCAAGGATGTTGGCATTAACATTGAGCAGATACTATATATGTTAGAAAGAATTGGCCAAAAAAGTAAGAGATTTTTTAATTTGTGTATAAAAAGAATAGTGAAATTGTTTTTATTTGCGTTTGAATAAATTTTCTATAAGTAAGAGTCTAATGAAATTGTATTTGAGTACAATTGTGTTAATCTATGTTTGAGAGAAAGTTTGTTTTCGCATGCCAATTCGATTGCAATCTTCGAGTCCGGTCTGCCAAGTTTGGTCTACTTAAGTCTGATCTGGTCTGGTTTGATCTGAATTGGTCTGGTCCCGTTTGTTCTATGTGTACTTTAATTTGCAACTGTTGAATTCTGATCTGATTTGATCTAATTTGATTTGATATGTTTTGTTCTGATATAAGACTGTTACCAGTTTAATCATTATATAAAAAAGAATTTTTCCCAAAATAATGCTAATTAAAAAACTTTGCCAAATTAGGGTCGGGTTAAAATATATTTCCCAAAATATCGTTGAGTTAGACCCTATTTGCTTAGTTGTTTTTTAAAACTGATACAATTTTTTTATTTGTACTCCGATTGTTACAAAAAAAATATCAAAATTTATACATTTTTATTATCATTCATATGACATACTGAATATATATATATATATATATATATATATATATATATATATATATATATATATAACACTGTAAAAACATCTTTTTTAAAGTTTTATAACTTACCATAAAAAAAAAAGTTTTATAACTTTTTTATTTGTACCCCAATTGTTACAAAAAATAGATCAAAATTCATAATTGTTTATTATATTTCATAGGGAAAACTGTCAAATAGGCCCTCGAACTATAACCAAAAAGTCAATTAGGCCCTCAAACCTAAAAAACCCCAATTACGCCCTCATAGTATACAAAAACGACCAATGTTATAATTTTGCCGGTAATCGTCCAGGTAACCGGTTAAAGTGCTTGCGTGGCCATTCCACCTGGCTTAGAATTCGTATTGTCCCGTTTCTATATATCTAGATGTACACCGTGTAGCCCCATCTCCCATTTGTTTTACAGAGCCCTAAATCTCCTTCATCACACTCACCGCTGGCATCGCCTGATCGCCGAGGTTTCCGCTGGCGCTATCTCCATGGGCCTTGGCGGCTAAGAGCTAGGCAGGCAGGGACGGAGCCAACAAGGGAGGTGTGGTGTCAATTGACACCACTGAAATTTTTTTCCCCATAAGTAGGTATATAAATTTTTTTCAAAATTCTAAAATTGACACCACTGAAAAATAAAAATTCTTTGTATAGGTATATGTAATGTTTCATAAATTATAAATTGACACCACTCCGCTAATTAAAGAAATGGGGGTCAATGTAAATTTTTTTAAAAATTGGAACACCAACTTAAATCAATTGAAAGCGAGACAATTGAAATTTGGGCGGTGCACAACTCCTATTACAAAGCTCCCGCTGCGAAAGACCAAACGACAGATTGCGTAAAATCAGAAACCCTCATCCGATCGGTGTCTCCGTTCTCCTTCCTCATGCGGCCCTGCCACCGGCCTCCGACTTCGCTGCCCAGGCGCCCCCATATACTCTCTGGCCATTTTAGGCTACAGGCTCACCGGCTAGGCGGCAATCCCACAGGCCCCTGCGGAACTGCATAAGGTATTGCCGTAACTTACTATTTCTTTAGTTTATAAATTATTAGTTTATTACTCCCTCCGTCGGACATGCTGTATATATAGCATGTGACGTTGTTGCCCCGTAGCTAGATGTGTGCTCAGGACATTTGCTCTATTTTGACAACGAAAGAGAGTATGCGTGTAATTTGAAAATAGATTACACAAATCGCCCAACGATGTATTTCTATTTTACATGCAAACTATTTTATTGTCCTAAACTTTACATGCAATCATTTTGCATGTAAAGTTTTAATGTGTAAACTACCAAACGGGTTCTAAGGTTAAATTTGCCAGCTTAATGGTAGATTTATGGCACCAGAGTTGTGACTGCGGCGGCGATGCTCGGAGGTGAAGTGGTGGCCCTGGAATATAATTGACTAGACCTGTACAAACACGGGCCGGGCCGCCCAGCCCGCCCATATAAATGGGCAGGTCTGGACATGTAGATTCGCCCACCGGGTCGGGCCGGCTCGAGCCCGGTAAAAATGTGGGCAGGTATGGGTTCAATCGTAGGCCCGTTCGGGCCAAAAAGCCCGGCCCGAAAACTTATATAATATAATATAATATAATATAATATGATATAATATGATATAATATGATATAATATGATATAATATAATATAATATAATATAATATAATATAATATAATATAATATAATATAATATAATATAATATAATATAATATAATATAATATAATATAATATAATATAATATAATATAATATAATATAATATAATATAATATAATATAATATAATATAATATAATATAATATAATATAATATAATATAATATAATATAATATAATATAATATAATATAATATAATATAATATAATATAATATAATATAATATAATATAATATAATATAATATAATATAATATAATATAATATAATATAATATAATATAATATAATATAATATAATATAATATAATATAATATAATATAATATATAATTCATTATACATATTAATTATATATATATTTGTACTCAATTATGGACCTACGGATTATTACCCATCAGTCCATGAGATTAATGGTCCAAACCGCCGAACCCAATAATCCAATATCCTTAAACCCCTATAACCCTATTTCGTATAAACAAAAAACTTCATTAGATCAGCACACCAGTAGAGTAGCAGCCTAGCCGAAGATCAAATTAATGTCATGAAGGCAGATTAATGTCATTGAGCTTGTTAATTGATTTTGATTTATTTTAGAAATGCTATCAACTAATGCTAAATTTTCCCGGGCCGAGCAGCCCGATGGACTGCCCGGCCCGCTAGTATGGGCGGGCATGGACATGGGAGGTGGCCCGTTTTATCCGGGCCAGGCCCGCCCATTGAAGTGTGTAGAAATTTTAGATAAAGCCCGGCCAGAGCCCAGCCCGAGCCCGTGTTTGTACAGGTCTATAATTGACCATGACGGCAATTTTGATAAAAGACGGTGACCAAAGGGGCAGCGACAACAAGTCGTCAAGCCCTATAGGCGAGTTCGCTCGCTCGTGTCGACTCTTGTGAAAATGCAATCTCAATTGTAGTAGGTAAACTAACACGAGCATGTGTATGTTTGAAATTTTATTACACAAATGTGACATCTAAAATATTATAAACACCAATAGTGGTTAGGGCATTTTGGGTATAGAAAATGTGTTGGTGTACAACTTAGCATTATATACTTGTACCTTCATGTTTTAAAAATTGTACACCTCATTAATATCGTGATTTTGATGTTATCCTTCCGATACTTGAAGCGGACGTTTACTTGTTCACCCCGTGACTTTGTATTGGTTTAAGAAAAATGAAACCGAAAAAAAAAAAATCGAAGTCGCGATGCCGGTTAGTCCAGGAAATCAACGCGCGGGTCCAGCACCTCACGATATGCAGCAACGGCGGAGGAGCTGACGCCGAGGCGGCGGTGTGGTCTCAGATCAAAGACGAGGCGAAGCGCAACGCCGAATCGGAGCCGGCGCTCGCCAGTTACCAATATTCCACCATCATTTCTCATTCCTCGTTTCGTTCCCTCTCATTCCACATCGGAAACAAGCTCTGCTCCTCCACCCTTCTCTCCACGCTCCTCTACGACCTCTTCCTCAACATCTTCTCGACCGATCCATCCCTCCGTGCTGCCACCGTCGCTAACTTATGCGCTGCCCGTTTCCGCGATGCTGCTTGCATTTCCTTCGCTCACTGCCTTTTAAATTACAAGGGCTTCCTAGCCATCCAGGCTCATAGATTGGCACATAAGCTATGGCTACAGAACAGAAAACCAATAGCATTGTCACTGCAATCTAGGATCGCGGATGTGTTCTCGGTGGATATACACCCTGCAGCTAAGATAGGGAAGGGGATATTTCTAGACCACGCAACCGGAGTGGTGATTGGAGAGACAGCAATAATAGGGAACAATGTGTCAATGCTGCACCAAGTCACATTAGGTGGGATCGGGAAGGCTGGTGGTGATAGACATCCAAAGATCGGAGATGGGGTCTTGATTGGGGCAGGGGCCACGATATTGGGAAATGTGAGGATTGGCGAGGGAGCGAAAATTGGTGCTGATTGATGTGCCACCACGGACCACTGCAGTTGGAAGTCCTGCTAGGCTAGTGGGTGGGAAAGAACAGCCAAGTGTTCATGAAGATGTTCCTGGGGAGTCCATGGATCACACTTCCTTTATTTGTCAGTGGTCAGACTATATTATATAGTCATTGTTGTCGCCAAGAAATCTGTACTAGCGTCTATATTATCAACCGGTGCAAACATCAATGAGAAAATAGAATACTGATGTTGGGTTAAGGGCCCAAGCCGAGGTCCGGCCCACTAACCCATTTTGCCAGACGGACGTCCAGTTAGAACACTAGGCCAGCCCACAGGCCCGTCCCATGTGGATGGACGAACGTCTGGGGTTGGGGATTCAGGTCCAGCGGCTCCTCCCGACGAACGTCAATGCAGGGACAAGGAGCAGGGCCGCGGGCCACCAGGGATGACGACGAACGTCCCCATGGCAAGCCTATAGTCATCGGAGGAAATCCAGTCCACAAGGTGAATATCTATCAAGGCCAGGAGACGAACAGCCGAAACCTCCTGAGGGTCACTTGGGGCAATCCAACTCACTTCCCGGGCGGACGAACGTCCCCATTGATTGGGCGGGAAACCTAGATTCTGGCGGGAAGTGCATTTAATGCTGAAGATTTGGTGGTTGGGGCACCAGCGGTCCACAGGCTGCCACGTCAGTACAGCCACCTGCCCATTGGCGGGTATAAATAGAAGCATTTATTTCATTGTAAAGGGTTGGCAACTTTCTATTCTTAGCATACTAGCTTCAGCCTTCTTGCTCGCAGCATTTCTAACTGCCTTGTAAACGAACGGCCGACGTGCCTTTTTTAGCAAGTAGATTGTACTTAGGGGAGTTATTACGAAGTTAATAATACCTATTTACATTGCCTGCTATTTCTTTTGTTTCCTGATCCATCTGATAGTTGTTGGGCTAGATATTCATACACTCACTCCACTCGAAATCTTTGGGCTTACGTGTTGGGTCCAAGGGTTGAAGGAATAAACATCAACACTGGCGCCGTCTGTGGGAAACTGAGCAAAAAGTTTCCAGAAACTCTCCCAAACAGCTACTAAGTCTACCTACAGCAAACATGATGTCAGGAAGCAACAACCAGCGTGATCTCTCCGAGCGTCTGGAGTCAAGCCGCCGGAATCGCGGCCAGAACTCGGAACTATCCGCAACAATATGGACCTCCGGAGGAAACGGGGGTATCACTGACCTCATTCCCCTGGAGGCCAGGCAGGATCCCCGCCTCATGCGGGAACTCGCAGACACCATGCGTCGCTTGGCAGACGAGCGGGAGGCCCGAGATCAGGTGTACTCCGCAAGCACCCAGCGAACCCCCCTCTCTCCCATCCGCCGCATGCAGTCGTATGATGGTACGACGGGATCCAGCGACCACCGGCCCTCAGTCCACGAGCGGCTAGGTGGGGGTTCAGGCTCCCGTGAAACGGGAGGGCGAACCAGGGTCAGCGTCGCTGCATCCAGAGCTCACACGCCATCGGTTCCCCGCCAAATCCCGCGGGGAGACGAAACCCCGAGGATCAACACCGTTGGACGACGTTTCCAACGGCGAGGTGCACAGATCTTTAGGCGGCCGCACGATGCTGTGGCCGCCCAGCAGAATGCCGTTCCCGAAGCCGCGCCCCCTGTGTCCCCCGGAAGGGCCGCACAGGACGCAAGGCTGGAGACAATGGAACGACAGATAGCCGAGATGAATAGGCGGACGGACGTCAGCTCGGCCACACCCTCTTTCTCCCTCACATCACCCTTTACTCCACGGGTGATGAGCGTCGAGATTCCCCGGGACTGCAGGCCCCCGGGCAACTTGGTGTATAATGGGGCTGGCGACCCTAAGGCCCATCTGATAAGCTACCAAGGGAACCTGTCCATGCTGGGAGCATCGGACGAGGCCATCTGCCGATTGTTCTTCAGCACCCTCAGGGGGCCGGCGCAAGAATGGTTCGGCCAGTTGAGGCCGGGCACCATCGACTCATATGAACAGCTCTCCCGGCAGTTCATGGCACAGTTTGCTGCCAGTACCACCCCCAGGAAGGACGTCACGGCCCTCGCCCACATCAAACAAGGGCGGGACGAACCGCTGGCTAGGTTCCTGGTAAGGTGGAGGGACGAGGTCCTGCAGGTCGACGATCTGGACGAACGTCTGGCCACCAACATGTTCACCAGTGCGCTGGCCACAGGGGATCTATACCGGGACCTAAGGAGAAATCCCGGCACCAGCTACACCGAAGTTCTGGCTCGGGCCCAGAAGTATGCCTCCATTGAGGAGGAGATCAGGCAGCGGGACGGAGTTCCCGCGGCCCAGCCAAGGAAGATGGCGGACAGGCTCGGACCTAGACCGGGACCCGGGCCCTCCCCCCCAAACAAAAAGAAGAAGGTGGACGGAGCGATGGTCCCTTGGAAAGCTCCGTCCGGAGATAGTCAGACGCGGCCGGACGACCGCTATATCCCTTTGGCCTACCCGGTGAGCCAAATCTTCGAGGCCATCAAGGACAAGGGCCTCCTGATGGAACCCCAAGATATGAAGAAGTATATGGGGCTTGACCAATCGGCCTACTGCGAGTACCATCAGAGGGCCGGCCACCTGACGGACAATTGCAGCCAATTGAAGAAAGCAATCGACGAGCTGATCCGCCAGGGGTACTTGGGTGAATTCACCCAGCTGCTGAACAAGAACAGCCAGCAGAAGCCGAACCCAAGGCACCGGACGTGGCGCCGCGACGACCGGCGCGAGGCAGAACCTCAGGACGTGGATTATCGAAGTGCAGATAAACGTCCGGAGGGATCCCTCGGCCCAAAGGGCAAAAAGAAGAAGTTGGAGATCAAGGTGATCTTCGGGGGCGCTGAGACAGGGGATACACCCGCCGAGCGGAAAAAATTTGAGAGATCACTCTATGTGGGTTCCGTATCAGCACCCCCCACCAAGCGCAGCAAAATCGAGGCAATTACCTTCGGCCCCGCCGATCTGCCGATGTCACCGGCGCCGCACAGAGACGAGCTGGTGATCAGCATGGACGTGAACGATGCCATCGTCCGCCGCGTCCTTGTCGATACCGGGAGCAGTGTGAACGTCCTCTACTGGGAGGCCTTCGAGGGGATGAAACTCAAAAAGGACATGCTGCACCCTCTGCGTACCCCGCTGTCCGGCTTCACTGGGGATTGCATTGACGCGGAGGGTACCATCATCTTGCCAGTAAAGATCGGCGACGGCCCTCACACTGCCCGGATCGGGATGACGTTCGTCGTGGTCCGCTTAAAATGCGCCCACAACGCCATTTTGGGCCGACCCGGTTTGGAAGACTTGGGGGCCATATGCTCCGTACGACATTCATGCATCAAATTCCCCACCGACACTGGAGTGGGAGTGGCACGTACGGATCCACATATGGCCAGGGCCTGCTACACGAAGGCCATGGAGAAGCTCAACGAGCGGGAGGCTCGGGTCAACAGCATCTCCGAGAAGGCCAAACAGGCCGACTTGGACGCTCATCTGGAGCCAGCAACTCTGCTGGAAGAAATCGAGCTCGACGACCCGACGGACAGGAGGGTGTCCATCGGTGCAGATCTAGAGCCGGAGATCAGAGCAGGGGTCATAGCTGTTCTCCGAAGGTTCAGGATCTTATTCGCCAGAGGACCGGAGGACATGCCGGGCATCGACCCCAACCTCATATGCCATAGACTCGCCGTGCGGTCGGACGCCAAGCCCGTACAGCAAAAGAAAAGGTATATGGCGGCCGACCGACGCGATTTCATCAGGAAGGAGACGGCAACTCTCCTCAGCATCAAACACATCCGGCCGGTCATCCACGTGGAGTGGCTGGCCAACGTGGTACTAGCCCCGAAGGGCGACACTTGGCGGATGTGCGTCGATTACTCGGACCTAAACAAAGCTTGTCCGATGGATCCTTACCCTGTTCCGAGGATCGACTTGCTGGTGGATGAGACGGCAGGCTGCGAGCTGCTCAGCTTCATGGACGCATTCAGGGGCTACCATCAGGTGTTCATGCACCCCGATGATGCCGAAAAAACGGCGTTCGTTACGGCGGACGGCGTGTATTGCTACATCGTCATGCCGTTCG